GAACCAACCCCAAGGCCCCCGGCCAGCGGCGGCGCAGCCTGGAGCCCGCCGACAGCACCCACCACGGGGGCTACCCGGCCTCGCAGACGCCCAACAAGAGCGCTGCCCCCGACGCCCACCGCACGCCCAGCCGCACCTTCGGCCCCACGGCTGCTGAGCCCAAGCTCTTCGGAGGCTTCAACACCTCCGACACCATCACGTCGCCGCAGCGCTCGGGCGCTCTGGCAGGTCAGGGTGCTGCTGGGGCTCTCCCGGAGCAGAGGGGCTTTGGGGATGAGTGGTTGGGCTTGCAGGGAGTTGTTTTGGGGGCCTCCTTTTGGTTGCCCTCCTTCCCTTGTACGTTACTAAAAGTTCAACCCTGCAACCATTTTCCCTGCTTGAGTAGGGGGGTTGGACTAGACGATCTCTGGAGGTCCCTTCCAACCTCAACCCTTCTGTGAGTCTGTGACCTTGCCTTTGGGTCCTTTTGTCAAGAGATGGCACTTGATGAAAGAGCAGAACCAGTTCCTATCAGCTGGTTGAGGACAGTGGGAGAGGACCCCAGCAAGGGCCGCCCCAACCCTCCTCTGCTCTCTTGGTGTGGATGCAGCAAGGACTGTGCCATGGGGAATGTGGTCCTCTTGAGCTTGTGTCTGTCGCAGGTGGAGTCACCACCTTTGTGGCCCTCTACGATTACGAATCCCGGACGGAAACGGACTTGTCCTTCAAGAAAGGAGAACGTCTCCAAATTGTCAACAACACGTGAGTGTCCCTGTGGGCTGGCCTGCACTGGTGTGGATGAGCTGGTGCCTTGTCCTCTTGAGGAACCTATGTCACCCAAAGTCCCCTTGTCCCCTTCTCAGGGAACCTTGCTGGCTGTCCAAGCCCTGCAGAGTTTAGAGGGGATCAAAGGAGTCGCAGAACCCCAGAGCTTTGGTGACAGATACCCTGTCCCTGTGAAGGGACAGAAGCTGCTGTCTCCCTCCAGCCCAGGCATGAGGGCAGGGCGCTTGGATGACAAGGGCTGTGATCCAGCAGCGAGTGTGTCCCAACTCCGGGATAGGGCACAGAGGAGCAGGGAGAAGCAAAAGGGGCAGGAAGGCTTCAAAGAGCCTCCACCACGAACAGCACCTCCCGTTAGGGCAGGGGCAGCCCCGCAGCTGCGGCTGGTTTGGGTTGCTCAGCTGCTGCTCCTATGGCTGCGTCCTGGTGGCCCCTGCCCCTGCTGCTGCTCTGCCACCAGCACCCTGTGACTGCCGAGGCGCTTTTGTCCTGGTGGCAGCAGCTTCCTTGGCACTTGTCTGTGTCCACCTGTGTGGGGCCCCAACCCTGCCATCCCCTCAGTGCTCAGCTCCCTCGCGTTGCCTCGCTGCCTGCTGCAGCCTCTGTGCTTATGCCGTGTCTCTGATCTAAGCTTCTCTCGACTGTTTTCTCTCCTGTGCCCCACGCTTTCATGTAGGAGAAAAGTGGATGTCAGGTGTGTATTGCCCATTACTATTATTATTGTGATAAAAGCCCTTCTGCTGCCTGTGTTGGGACAAGATTGGGTGGCGCGGGGCTGGGAGGAGAGGTCTGACCGTGGTCCTAGACATGCCCCATGGTGAAGCCACATGTGCTCCGTGGGGGACGTGCCCGCGTGTGCCCTGCATGCCGCAGGGGCAGCTTTCTGGTTTAGCAGCCTCTGCTCTCCCCTCCACTGCTCCCTTAAAACCTAGGAACCAGAAATAACGTTGCAAAGTCAAGGCATGGGATCATCAGGGAATGTCCCGGGGGTGATACTCCTGCTGCAGAGGTGGAGCACATGCTCATCCTATTAGGTCCTTCTTTCCCTTGTTCCAGCACTGGGCATTACCCGCGATGCATTTAATCCGTGGAGCCTGGGATGTGCAGAGCAAAGGGCTTCAGTGGTGCCAGGAAAACCTTTTTATGGGGTGTTTGGTGGCTCATGATTTCACACCTTCGTTGATGCTCTAGCCCCAAGCTTCTTCTCCTGATTTGTGCTTATACAAAGTGGGCTCTGCCTGTCAGGGATTCTGGATTGTGCCGTGGCTCAGGGTTTTTTCTTTAGCCATTAAAGCACCTGTGGGGTTTCTATTCTTTTTTTCCTGCTGTGGTTTTTCAAAGGCCTGGGCAGAGAGGAGGCTCTGTGTGATACACACTGTGCAGCATCCTGGCAAACAAAAGGACTGGGCTGGCGCTGCAGGACATAAAAAATGAAGGAAGGCGCCGTGTTTAGATGACCCTGCTGGTACCTCGTGCAGCCACGTCAGGGAGACTTCCAGAGGGAGACAGACTTTGGAAAACTCCTCTGCCTGGCGCTAGCACAGGAGCAAATGTCTCCTTGTGTTGAATGCTCTCAGCGTCCTGCTCTGATGTCGGGTGCTCTGATAAGCGCTGAGTTACCTTACAGCTTGTGCTGAGCCGTGAGCCCCGAGCACAGCGGCCTGGGCGCCCTGGGATCCTGCTTTCCCTCTGATAAGGCTCAATAGAAAAATGTGGCAGCCAGAGGGTGTTGCTTGATGGTATCTGCTCGGCTTTGGTAGGCTGGGAATCCTGTAACGCTCTTGTGGAACTTGTCAGGCTGAGTGTGTTACATGCTCTAATCTGTGCCTAGTTTTGAGTGAGTCCAGATTGATCTCTGAAATTGCAGAGATCAGACCTTCTAGCGCTGTTCTTGAAACGTTGGACGTGCTCCAGACCAAACCAAATTGGAGGAGAAAGAGCCAGATGGACTGAAATGAGATAACTGCAGCCCTTGGGGGAAGTCAAACACCCAGCCCTCTGCTCCTCAGCCTTTGGAGGAAGCACTGGCGAAGTTTTAGAGGTGACCAAGGCAGATCTGCAACATCCTCTGCCCTGGCCTTTGAGAGGAGTCGTAGCTGGAGCCCAGGAGCTCAGCAAGCTCACGTGGACAACGCTGCATTTAATCTGAAAAGGGCTGCCAGGTCCCTCACAGATTGGGAACCCAAGAGCAGAAGCTGCTTGGGTCTGCTGTTAGATGGGGCTGCCATGTGGGAATGGGTCCTACAACGCCAAGGCCACGGCGTGCTGTTGTTGGCCAGCTCAGCTGCAGGCCAGCGCTTTGCCAAGGTGGCTAGTGGCTTTGTCTGCTGCAAGGAGCTGTGTTTTTGGAGGGCGAGAGCAGATGGGGCCTGGGAAATCTGCTCAGGCCAGTCTTGGCTGCAGCAGAACCAGGGCTTTGTTTGGGAAGAGCAGAAGAAGAGCCGGCCCCAAGCTCGAGTTGTCCCAGCGCATGGTCACCGCGTTGCTCAGCCGTGCACCAATGTCCTGTGGTGTCTTTGGGGACACTCTGCTTTCCTGTGAGGTCAGATCCACTCGTGGCAGTGAGGGAAAGGCCCTTGTGGTGCTGTTTCCAGCAGGAGGGGGTTTCCTCCCAGCCAGCTGGCAGCAAGCAGAGATGTAACGGGATGTTTTGGTAAGGTTGTGCAGGGAATTGTTGAAATGTTTTGTCTTGACTTTTTTTTTTCCTGCCCTGCTGGGACATTTTTGGAATAGTTAGTTTTTGCAGAATTCCCAGATTGCAGCCGTTCCACCCGAGCTGGAATGAAGCCACGGATTGAAACGCGGGCATTTCTCAAGCAGATGTTTTCCCCCCATCCTGTGGGAAAGGAGGCTGCACCCGTCTCCTGCCCCCTTCACAGCTGCCTCTGCGAAGGTGACAGGGACAACGGCTCCGTCCGGGGAGCCGGGAGCCCCTCCAGCTGCTCCAGCTGCTCTCGGTACCAACCAGCGCATCCGCCTGCTCCGTCGGGATTCAAGGCACGGGAAGGGTCGAGCCCATGTCTGCAGGAGCCAGGGCCATGTGTGGCTCTGCCAGGGCTCCCGTTCCTCCGTGGCCCCGTGTGGCTGCAGCTGCCGATGCTCTAATAGCCAGAACACCCGGGCGGGAGCAGCGCGCAGACCCCGCGGCTGCGTCTGGCTTCTCGCAGCCGCCTTCAAGCCCGGCTGTTTTGTAGCTGGGTCAAGTGAATGTCACAAGCTGGTGTCGAAGCAGATCATTACTCTGTTTTGTTTTGGGTTTTTTATTACTTATTATTATTATTTTTATTTTTGTAAGGAGTTTGGAAAGGTCGCCCTGAGGCATTTAACCATCTGGCAAATCCTTGCGGTGCTTGTCTTGGGAATCTGCAGTTTTCCCGTAGCCTGGTCTCCCTGGTGGTCAGAATAAATTAGACGCACGCTTAAAAAAAAAAAAGTGTTTTTTTTTTTAATTGATTCAGTCTTTGATAGACAAGACCATCCCTGTTGTGTGAGGAACCTCCTGCTGTGCACTGGGAAGGGGGAACGGCCTTCCAGGCTCCCTTGGCCTTTGTTTCTTGGCCTTCCCGGCTCCCAGCCCTCTCCGCAGCATCCCTAGGACCGGCGTAGGGAGGATGGTAGAGCCCAGTGTGGGCAGGTCTGGGGACCGAGGGTCCCACTTCTGCCACCAGCCCCCAGGCAGCGGTGGCCAAAGGGCCTGGTGCTGCCCTGCACCCGCCCCGCGGTTTTCCCCAACGCTTGTGGCCGGGATGGGGAGCTGCGGAGAAGCCTCTCGGAGCCGTGCGGAGCTGTGTGGGTGCAAGGGGTGTTGTGGGCAGGAGCTGATCCTGGGATTGCCCCAAGGCCCCCCTGCAAATCCTGAGCCCATCGGACACGTCCCCAGGGCCCCGCTGCAGGGCAAGCAGTCCCTAGTCCCAGGGCAAATCCCTAGGGCACCACTTAAGCCCTTTCCTCCTCTCCTTTGTGTATGTATTTTCCCCCTTTCGTTGCTTTCTCGTAGCTTCTGTTTAACAAATTCTGCAGTTTTGTTTCTCCTGGTGCTTTTTGAAATCACTTCCATCATTCCATCCCTTTCTTATTTATTTATATAATTAATTTTCCCGTTTCCCTGCCACCCAGCTTGGCCTTTCAGCCCCTGGATCACCGCAGTGCCTCTCCCTGCGCAACCAGACCCGCTTCCCACCCGAGCTCCGTCCTGGCTCCGGTGCGGAGCTCCCGCCGCCGCGGGGCCAGGGCAGCTCCAGGGCCTCGGGCTCATCCCGACTCCTTGGCTCTCTTCCAGGGAAGGCGACTGGTGGCTGGCGCACTCCCTCACCACGGGGCAGACGGGATACATCCCCAGCAACTATGTCGCGCCCTCCGACTCCATCCAGGCTGAAGAGTAACTGCCGCTTTTAAACAGTCTACAGAAGCGTTAAAAAAATGACTGCTTGTCCCTCCCGGGTGTCCCTCTGCTCCCACTCAACCCACAGCGCCCCGGGCCCTTTTTCCCTTGCTCTTTTCCCCATTGTTGCCCGTTTTCCTGCCTTTCCCTGAGGCGCGAGCGAGAGGCCGAGGCGCAGCTCTT